CGTCTCAAGAAGGCACTTCAAGATCAGTGCATCAGGAGAACACAGAACACCCAGCCATCTGTGGAGCATTCAGCCAAGGAAAGGTAGCACAGGAGACCAGCTCCAAGGGAGCCGGAATGGCACCACAGGGTGCAGAGGCCTCAGGAGCTGGTGGGCAGCCTCGCCCACATTACCCTTGCTCACACAGGGCAGAAGGCCTTGGTATCTTCCATAAAATAGGTGGGTGTGCCCCCAGTCAACACAATGAAAGCCCTGTCTGGAGATCAAAATGAGTCAAAAGACTTAACATATTTGTTTTAGATGATGCCAGTATGAGAGTAAAAGCATGAAGGCCTCTAATCCAGTTTTACAACCCAGAAAAAAAAAAAAAAACACGTTCATAAAAGTCACGTCCAGGTTACCAAAGAGCACCCAAGGCCTAGGAGAGTCGGAAGTTCAGGAAGGAAGGCTCACTCGGTGGACTGATGCTTGGCAAGAAGCCCCGTTCCCCGAAGTCAGAAGCCTCATCAACTCGCCCTTGCAGGGCTTTTTCACCTTCAGCAGACCCGAGCCCTTTGGAAAACCCTTTTCCAGATTATTTGCTCTTTCAAAGCCAACTACAGAAAAAAGTATGGAAAACCCCACATCAGGAACTGCTTCTCGAGAAAACATGTTGGTGGAAAACCCCATTGTGCCGGAAGGCACTATCTCTGAGGACCCCATGAACTCTTCCGAGTCTGATTCTATCGCACTTGCCTTCGACACTGTGTTGCCCGTCAGACAGACCAATGAAAGGCAGTGTGAGTTCAGCAACCGGGTCCTGAGCTGTCTCCCACACCACAGAGCCTCATGTATCCGCTCTTCTTTCCCCAGCGGTCCAGTTTGAGAGTCACCTAAATTAGCAGCTGCAGTCTCTCATCCCAAACAATGATGTGCAGAGGCTCATTTCCTATTATAATGAGCCCACAAGGGCTCAGGGCTACGATACCACTCATCCTGGCCTTGCAACATTGGCCAGGACAGTGACCTCACACTTTGCTCATTAGAGAATAAAGCAGATCCAATACACAAGACAAACTGTAGAAGACATTGCTCAGTAGTGTGCACTGAGCCGATTATTGAGCCAGAGATGCCCTCAGACAAGAGGAGCTTTAGCCTGTCAGGCTTCATGAAGGAGCAACTGGACTTCTGTGAGGAAAGCGATGTCATCACCACACTCAATTATATCTTGCCTTGTTTCTCACAAGGAAACCTAGAGGATGTGTAATGAACATTGCTACCAAACTTTTGTCAAATGTTCAAAATGGAACTCTGGATCTTTTGAAAAACAGTACAGACATCCCCTCTGTAGAATCATCATCCAACACTCCAATGTACAACAGTGAATTGAGGAGGCTCTATCTACTAGACAATTGCTTAGATGCAGAAATTCAAGGAAAATTCCACGAGCTCAAAAAGAAAGAAGGAGGTGCCATGCTGATGCAGCCTAGCCTCAGGTCCTGAATTTAAACACCAAGTCTCTCCAGATATGTTGGAAACAGCCCAGCCACAGGAAAAGAGTGTAGCAATGACCCAGGGTGTCAGGAAAAGGCTGCAGATTGTGGACATGGTCATCAAGGGGCCCAGGGGCATTAAGAAAAGGCATCTCAAGAAGGCACTTCAAGATCAGTGCATCAGGAGAAAACAGAACACCCCGTCATCTGTGGAGCATGCAGCCGGGGAAAGTTGGCACGGGAGGCCTGCTCCAAGGGAGCCGGAATGGCACCACAGGGTGCAGAGGCCCCAGGAGCTGGTGGGCAGCCTCTCTCACACTGCCCTTGCTCACACAAGTGCAGAAGGCCTTGATCTCTTCCATACAATAGAAGTGTTTGCCCCCAGTCATCTCCATGAAAGCCCTGTCTGGAGATCAAAATGAGTCAAAAGACTTGACATATTTCTTTCAGATGATGCCAACATGAGAGTTAAAAGCATGAAGGCCTCCAATCCAGTTTTACATATCAGAAAAAATACGTTCATAAAGGTCACTTCCAGCTGATACACAGAGCACCCAAGGCTAAGGAGTGTCAGAAGTTCAGGAAGAAAAGCTCACTCGGTGGACTGATGCTTGCCAAGAAGACCCGTTCCTTGAAGTCAGAAACCTCATAAACTCGCCCTTGCAGCGGGCTTTTTAACCTTCAGGAGACCCGAGCCCTCAGGAAAACCCTTTTTACACAAATATTTGCTCTTTCAGAGCCAACCACAGAAAAAATTATAGAAAACCCCACATCAGGAACTGCTATTCAAGAATACATGTTTGTGGAAAACCCCATTGTGCCGGAAGGCACTATCTCTGAGGACCCCGTGAACATTTCAGAGGCTGACTCAGTCGCACATGCCTTCGATACCTTGTTGCCCATCAGACAGACCAAAGAAATGCAGTGGGAGTTGAACCACCCAGGAACTGAACTATCTCCCATGCCACAGAGCATTAAGTATCTGCTCTTCTTGTCCCCAGTGGACCAGCTTGACAGTCAGCTAAATCAGCAACTGCGGCCCCTCATCCCCAAAAATGATGTGCAGAGGCTCATTTCCCATGGAGGATGAGCTGGGGAGAGCACCCACATGGAGCCCAGTGCTATGGCACCTCTCGTCCTGGTCACATAACTTTGGCCATGACAGTGACCTCACACTTTTCTCATTAGAGAATGAAGCAGACCCAATAAACAAGACAAACTGCAGAAGGAATTGCTCAGTAGTGTGCCCTGAGCTGATTATTGAGCCAGAGATTCTCTCAGAACAGAGGAGCTTCAGTCTTTCAGGCTTCATGAATGAGCCGATGAACTTCCATGGGGAAAGCGATGTCATCACCACACTCAATTATATCTTGCCTTGTTTCTCACAAGGAAAACTATAGGATGTGTAATCAACATTGCTACCAAACTTTTTTCAAATGTTCAAAATGGAACCCTGGATCTTTTGAAAAGCAGACCACCCCTCTCTAGAATTGCCATCCAACAGTACAACTTACAAAAGTGAATTGAGGAGGCTCTATCTTCTAGAAAATTGCTTAGATGCAGAAATTCAAGAAAAATTCCACGAGGTCAAAAAGAAAGAAAGAGCTGCCATGCTGATGCAGCCTAGCCTCAGATCCCAAATTTAAACACCAGGTGTCTCCAGATAAGTTGGAAACGGCTAGGACACACAAAACAGCCTAGCAGGACCCAGGGTGTCAGGAAAAGGCTGCAGACCGTAGACATGGTCATCAAGGGGCCCAGGGGCATTAAGAAAAGGCGCCTCAAGAAGACACTTCAAGATCAGCGCATCAGAAGGAAACAGGACACCCAGCCATCTGTGGAGCATGCAGTCGAGGAAAGGTGGCACAGGAGGCCAGACCCAAGGGAGCCGGAATGGCCCCACAGGGTGGAGAGGTCCTAGGAGCTGGTGGGCCACGTTCCATACAATACATCAGTGTGCACCCAGACACCTCCATGAAAGCCCTGTCTGGGGATCAAATGAGTCAAAAGACTTGACAAAATTGTTTTAGATGATGCCAATATGACAGTTAAAAGCATGAAGGCCTTCAATCCAGTTTTACAACCCAGAAAAAAATACCACGTTCATGAAACTCACTCCCAGGTGATCCACAGAGCACCCAAGGCTAAGGAGTATCGGCAGTTCAGGAAGGAAGGCTCACTCGGTGGACTGATGCTTGTCAAGAGGCCTGTTTCCCTGCAGTCAGAAGCCTCATCAACTCACCCTTGCATGGGGCTTTTTCACCTTCAGGAGACCCAAGCCCTCAGCAAAACCCTTTTCCAGAATTATTTGCTCTTTCAGAGCCAACTACAGAAAAACTACTGAAAACCCCACACCAGAAACTGCTAATGGAGAAAACATGTTTGGGGAAAATCCCATTATTTCGGAAGGCACTATCACTGAAAACCCCATGAGCACTTCTGAGGCTGACTCCATTGCACTTGTCATCGATTCCGTGTTCCCTATCAGACAGAGCAATGAAATGCAGTGGGAGTTGAGCAGCCCTGGGCCTGAGCTTTCCCCCACGCCACACCACCTCGTGTATCTGCTCTTCCTTCCCCAGCGGTCCAGTTTGAGAGTCAGCTAAATCAGCAGCTGCAGTCACTCATCCCCAACAATGATGTGCGGAGGCTCATTTCCCGTGGAGGATGAGCTAGGGAGAGCACCCACATGGAGCCCAGGGCTCTAGTACCTCTCATCCTGGCCTCATAATTTTTGTCATGTCAGTGACCTCACACTTTGCTCATTAGAGATGAAGCAGACGCAATACACAAGACAACTGCAGAAGGAATTAATTGCTCAGTAACCATGTAACACATCAGACTTGCTCTGTTCTTTAAGAGTCTATAGGCTACCAACCCAAAAGAATGGGGTTTTGCATAGGTAGCTATTGTCCTTTCAACTGTTTTGTTTTTTTAAAAAACTTGTTATTTCCTTTCCTTTTTTCTTGGCTCACTAAAGAATTTCCAGGATATGGAACTTCTACAACGAAAACAGCAACCACATCTTGGCAATATCTGTGACCACTGTCTTTACGATTTTTTTTTTTTAATTTTCTAATATTTATTTTTTGCACCTGCAAACTGTAGCAAAACATGATCAGCTTTATTATGCAGACAGTATCCCTCTACATTTTTAAAGAATTTAGGCATGTATATAGCTCTTTAGAAAGAAAAAATTCAAGAATGAATAAAACCTTCCAATTTTGACTTTGTAACTTTCCAGTAGCAACGGTTAAAATGATTTTAGGTCATTCATTCCAAGATATATGACAGCACCTTAAAAGTGGCTGATCTATTTCCCCAGTAACATTTCTCACATAACAATGTGTTAAAGTTACAAATACTCATATGCACAAATAGCTAATTTCTAAGAAAAATATGTACAGTACTACAGCATAATGAATGTGGTATCTGCAATAACTTTAACATTAGCCAATTTTTAATACACACGATATCGCTACCTTTTTCTGCCAATTCACAGGTTAAAAGGTGTTACTGGAGCCCTCGGTTTTGCACATATTACATGGTGTTTAATACACATTGCAGGCTTTTTAAAGACTTCTCTTGTGTTTAAAGCTAAGATCAGTGAAACAAGACAACAGTGCAAGAGGTGGAGAGATGTAATGTGACCACATAAAAGTTTGTTCCAGTAAAGTGTCTATGTAAGGCTATAAGAAAGGATTGGTTGATGAGCTTCCTGTTGGAAATTGTCCTGTCGGTGCACCAGTCATAAAAGGATTACTAGATACCCCAGAAGCTGCAACTTGACCAAAAGGGGTCACCACTGGCTTTGTTTGTCCAAATGCTGCAAAACCTGCACCATTGGGCTGTTGAGAAAAAGCTGTTTGTTGAGGGAAAGCTGCTTGGGCTGGGAAAGCAGGCTGCTGGAAGCTGCCACTAAAGCCGGTGGGAAGACTATAGGGAGCAGGGGTGTCGAACCCCGCAGGCATGCTCATGGATGCAGTGCCAAAGGTTGCCGTTGTTGCTCCTCTGGCATTGGTCTGAAATAGATTTGGAGAAGATGCCACAGAAGGACCAGCAGCAGCAACAAAGGGATTTGTGGAAGGCGTAGCTCCAAACGGAGCAGGCACACTTGAAGAAGCAGGCTGTGTCTGTGCAGAAGCACCCACTGGCACTGTTCCAAAAACGTTGCTGCTAGCATTACTTGTGGAAGTATACGCATTCCTGGAGGTGGCTGCAGAACTGAGAACGCTGTCCAGTTCTGCCAGGGCTGCATACTTGTCTGAAGATGCCCTTGACTGACTGGGAACTGAAACCACAGAACCAACAGGAGATTTACCTTTGGTCCCAAAGCCACTTCCCTGATCCCCACCTTGCCCAGCACTGAAGATATTGTCTAAATTAGCAAGTGCTGCATATTTGTCTGCTGTCTGTAATCCGTCTTTGTTCGTTGAAACTTTAGTAGCAGCTGGTGCTGTTTGATGACTCTGGGAAGTATTGAAGGTTCCAAGATCAGCACTGGAGGATTTGGGGAAGTTATCAAAATGAGCAAAATTAGCATTTACGGATCCAGCACTTCCACCTGTAGTCTGGGGCTGAAAAGGAGAATGACTTGCTGTGGGGAAACCTCCAAAATTACTTGAATCACTAGACTATCCAAATGCAAAATCTGCATTTGCAGAATTCTGAGCTGCATGACTGTTGAAATGTGCAGAGTTAGCAAAATCGGCTGTAGCTGTTGACTGAGGAGCTGGAGCGGCAAAGATGTCTGAGCCAAGATCACTCAAAAGGTCAGACTGCTTCTTCTCCTGCTGCTGCCCTTGAGAGCGACCTACAACTGGGGACTGACTTGGTGTACCCTTCTGTAAGTGCAATGCTGGTGCAGAATCCCCTAAAAGAGACTTCAGTGGTTTGACCTCAGGTGTGCTGCTTGTGCTACTGGCAGAGGACCCTGAAATAGATGCATGCACTGATGCCACCACTTTGGCCTGTTCTGGCGGGACATACCATCTTTTCTTTTCATGTTTTTCTTGTAGAAACTCTTTCACTTTTTGTGGATCCCTGAAGTCTGGAATTGCTGAAGATCTATCATCAAATAATCCTAGCCAAATCTGTTTGCAGACGTCGTTTCCATGTTTCTGCAGAAATTCAATGTCCTGTTGTGTGAATGTTGTCATGGAGATCGATCTCACCCTGTGTGGTGGATTTAACCCTCGCAGGCTGCCGGAGCAGGAGGTACAGACAAAGGAGCCGACCGTCACGTTCACGCAGGTGGGGCCGCGCTGGTCGCAGTCGAAGCACTTTCGGTTGTGCGGGAGGCCGGTCATGTCCCGCAGCATCTTCAGGTGCTTCTCCTCCTGCTTCCGCTTCGCGCTGGCCGCCATGGCCGCGGCGCCGAGGGAGGAGGCCGGCAGGGCCGGGAGCCGGGCGGCGC